CGTCGTGTTGTTACTCCAGGAGAGGTCCTCGGTGATGTGCACCCCCAGGAATTTAGTGCAGCTCACCTGTTCCACAGCAGTACCACCAATGGTCAGTGTTGGGTGTCGTTTCTCCTGAAGTCAACAACATTTTATTTGCTTCATGACTTGCCGCTCAAAGCACTTCATGATGGTGGAAGTCAGCGGGGTAGTCATTGAAGCAGGAAGGTGATGACTTCTTCGGCACAGGTATGATGGTGGTTACCTTGAAGCACGAGGGAACAACAGCCTGGCTCAGGGAGATGTTGAAGATGTCTGTGAGGACATCTGTGAGCTCAGCACACGACCAGGAATGTTGTCAGGCCCAGAAGCTTTCCGGGTGTTAATCCTTAGCAGTGTGCTCCTCACACTGCCTGGGGACAGACAGATAGCCTGGTCGTTGGGTGGAGGCGTTGTTTTCTGCGCAGGTGTGCTGTTCTGTGTTTCGAAGCGTGCGAAGAAGCCGTTGAGGTTGTTCAGCAGAGAGATGTCACAGGTCTGTGGTGGTGGTTTGTAGGGGTGTAACGGTATACGTATTTGTACCGAAAATATTTGGTATGGGCCCTTCGGTTCGGTACACGTGTGTACCGAAGTGTACCGAACGAATATAACGTTAAACGTAAAAAATTGAGAACGTGAACAACTTTTTGGAAGTAATCCCAGGTGCTGCGTCGCAGCATTCAGTGTAATTGGCTCACTTTGGGTTCAACGCGTCATAGAGCGACCAAGTCATTTCATTGGACGAGAGGCATACTATGAGAGCTGGTCACAGGGATGCGTTCAAATTTAGTCAGTAATTTGAGGAACTGTCGAAATGGCGAACGCAGATAAAGTTGAGCTCGAAAATCCTCCAGCATCATTGAAGTCTCCGGTTTGGGAACATTTTGGTTTCGCAGTTACGTACAAGGATGACGGACAAAGACAGGTGGACCAAACCAAATCTATTTGTCGGCATTGTTCAACTAAAATTGGTTACGCGGCTGGCAATACATCAAATTTGCACACTCGTTTGAAAAGGCATCACCCGAACATGAATATCACCGGTACCAAAAGAAAAAAGACTGAAGTGCAAACCCAACTCCCACTAGCATTTAAGCCTCCAACACTCGCAAAAAGTTCAGACCGAGCCAAAGCTATTACAAACGCCAAATATCCTTATGTTGCCATGTTAGCAAAGCGCTACCTGGCTGTATCTGCTACCTCTGTCCCTAGCGAGAGGGTGTTCTCCACAGCAGGAGACATTGTTAGTGCCAGCATATCTGCCCTTTCGGCAAGCAATGTGGACAAGTTAATTTTTCTTAAAAAAAACATGAAAATACAATGACAAGCAAGTCCTAATTTCAAGCTGGCTGCTTAGGTACTAGTACAGAACAGTTCAAATACAGATTATTTCAGTTAATCGAAATGCTGCACCTTAATTTCTATTTTATTATATTTTGTATTTATTTGAGTGAATATTCACAGTTTAATAATAATTAAAAACCCAAAACTAATATTTTATGTTTTGTGAGTACTAGTACAGTAAAGTTCAAATACAGATTATTTCAATTCATCGAAATGCTGCACCTTAATGTCTATTTTATTATATTTTGTATTTATTTGAGTGAATACATTATTCGCAGTTTAATGATAATTAAAAAAAAAAAAAACATTTTATGAGATCTCGCAAAGGCCTTCCTCCCCATGAAACAGGAAGTGCCTGTTACTTCTGATCTGCACCCAACTTGACAGACTTGATGAGAATCCAGGCCTGAGGACATTCACAGCCAATAGTGTGCCTATCCCCTTACACTGTGTCCCCCTCTCATAATACATAAACCGTTTGTCATAAGAACTTGTGGGAGGCATCCCAGAGTTCCTGTTTCATTAGTGACGCTTTGCACACACAATACTCAAGCCCTGTACCACTGTATTATTGCAGTAAATACTTGTTTTTTATAGTTCTGTAAGTTCACATTATTTACAATTTGTTTTATTTAATTTACTTTTTTTTTTTCAAAAGAACCGATAAGAGTACCGTTATCGGTATCGATAAAAGTAGTAGTGCCGTTAAAACGATACCCATCCCTATGTGTGATGCAGTAAAATCTTACCGCTGACTTACGTTAGCGGTATCGTAAAACCGTGGGAAAATGTAAAATACGATGCCGAAGAAGAAGATTCCAGTGGCCCCAAGAGGAAGATTCTTGTATAGCATGTTTCTTGCCAAATATGAACAAATAAACAATAAAATGTTACCTTAGTTACAGTAACCCAGATTCTTGTATGCTTTATGTTGATATTTAATCATATTTAAAATAGGTGCAGCATGCACAACGTATAGTCCATGGACAAGTACTCTCTAAAAACTTTTTCTTACACTGTATAGTTCCTGTTGTATATAAGCTATACTTAAAAAATAAGCTCCTTCTTCACCAGCTGCAACAAGTGATGAACACATGTGGGAGTAGTACTCAGATCTTGTAGTAAAAGTAGAAGTACTCAGATCTTGTGCTTGAGTAAAAATAGAAGTACTCAGATCTTAAACTTGAGTAAAAGTAGAAGTACTCAGATCTTGTACTTGAGTAAAAGTAGAAGTACCAGAGTGTAGGAATACTTTGTTACAAGTAAAAGTCCTGCATTCAAAATGTCAACTCAAACTCAATTAAAAGTATAAAAGTAATAGCATCAAAATATAGTTAAAGTACCAAAAGTAAAAGTAGTCATTGTGCAGATTGGTCCATTTCAGAATAATGTATATGATATGTTTTATAATGATTGATCATGAAAGTGTTCTCAAAGCTGGTAAAGGTGCAGCTAGTTTGAATGACTTTGTATACTGCAGGGTAGCTTGTGAATTTACTCCAGGTGGAACTAAAGTCTGATTTAACACTTGATTATATTTCATATCATTCATCCACATCTGTGAAGTAACTAAAGGTATTAAATACATGTAGTGGAGTCAAAGTACACCATTTACCTCTGATACTGTAGTGAAGTACAAAGTAGCATAACATTGAAATACTCAAGTAAAGTACAAATACCTCAAAATTGTATTTAAGTACAGAACTTGAGTAAATGTACTTAGTTACTCATGTCCATTTTACAATGAAATTATATGAATCAATTATATGTACATTCATGATTCTGAAATGGGCCTTTGTGCAGAGTGAGAGCTTTTGTTTTTATTTTAACTTTTTAATGATTTTGTATCGCTTTGAATGCCTGACTTTAGCATGGTCCGGGTTATCTCTCTCAGAGGTATCAATATGTTTACTTCGTTAGCCTCTTGCCGTAACATTAGAACATGTTTCACTGTTCTAAACATGACCTTTCAAACATGTCAACATGTAGACCAGGGGTGGGGAACCTCCGGCCCCCGGGCCGTATACGTCTCGCGAGACCATTTGATATGGCCCTCGAGGTAATTTATAAACACACGCAAAAAAGAAAAATTAAAGAAATCTAGACCGCAAAATAATTAAAAAAGTGAGTGCCTGTTTTTCCTGGCCAAGGTCAGGGTCCTTGAACAGAACACGAGCCTAGCATGTCATCACGTGGTATATGTCTCGTCTGACAGGGGTGCAGTTCTGACGGAGAGCACCAGAACGCCGCTCCGGCAAAAATTGCAGTACCCATAAGGAGCCATGCCACAGTTTTTGTGTGGCTGTGTCTTTAGTTGAAAGCCCAGTGGCGATCTGTTCATCTGACATACTGATCATACAGTCAATAGATGAGAGTAACACCTACATCACTTCCGGGCAAAAATGACGGCCCTGCCCACTTTTGGGGGAAAACAACGCTGTCATTTGAATGGCTGTCAATACAAATTCTGAAGTTTTTTGAAAACCGTGGATTTTTGGATCTTGAAAGAGCTCGATTACGATGGCCAGTCAGGCAAACAATTACATTAGATCATTGGAAATCGACAATCAGTCTTGATATATGATTAAATTAAAATCAGTAGGCGAGGCTGTAATTTCTCCAGCTGTTACTCTCATGAGCGAGGCGGAACATAATAGTTTTATCATGCCAAAAAGCTGCTGTGTCGTTTATTGCACCTCAAACATTAAAAATAATCAAGAGTTCAGTGTTTCTGTACTTCCTCTAAGAACAAAGGACAGTAAAAGAAGAGCTCTGTGGCTTCAGGCTCGATCGCCGTTTAAATGACAGCGTTGTTTCCCCCAAAAGTGGGCGGAGCCGTAAAGTGACGTAGATGTTACTCTCATCTATGAAAATCGATAGCCTACTGCTATATTTAACCATATATCGAGCCCGATCAGTCAATGATACCATTCCTAGGTGAACTTAACATCCGTATGGAGTCAGATCAGTCTCAATATTAATAAATGCTCACAGAAGGATTCACAAATGTATTTTGCGATTTATATATAAATGACTCTCCACAACAATATCTCTCAATGCACTCACAAATATTTATTGTTGTATATAAATGTACAAAAAATGGGCATTTAAACTGCTTTTTATTAATTCAAAGACGGCTCTGAATTAATAATCAAATGTTTCCTTTCTTTACTACTGGATGAAATTACAAAATGTACCCATCATTTTCCTCATGCTACATAAAAGCCACATAAAAGTATCAAACCACCTGTTAAAATGCACCAGAATACAGGAAATCTATTTTTTTTCCCGCCCCCACACCCCCCGTTAAAAATGTCCCCCCCACATTCAGGATGCTTCCTACGCCCATGCATTTGCACATGTCTTGTGTCCATATCTTTATGTTTTGGTGGTCATGCCACAGCCGTGCACGTGCATGCATGCGCGAGTCATGGTGAGATATCTGGATTAAGAGGTTGCTTTTTCTTTGCACAGCATGAATGAAAGGCTAAATGAATGGGCTGTGATTTTAGTTTTTTTAAGCAGAGGTCAATAATTTGTACGGCCCTCGGAGGTTGTTGTTAAAATTGAAATGGCCCTTGAGAGGAAAAAGGTTCCCCACCCCTGATGTAGACAGTCCAAACAGCAGCGTCACTCACCCCCCCTCGGTGTGATGAGTCTGCGAACTGGGAGCACTGCGACACGGCCCGGAGAATAACGGTCTGGCGGCCCGGAGAATAACGGTCTGACGGCTCCTGTAGACGGACCGACAACAAGTTTCACAGGAAACTGGAGACTGGGCGGAGCTCTTCATCCTCTCACACACACACACACACACACACACACACACACATACATACACACACACACACACACACACACACACACACACACACACACACACACACACACACACACACACACACACACACACACACACACACACACACACACACAAAAACACACAAAAACACACACACATACAGAGACAGGGAGTGGTCGACTGAAGCCTGGACTCACAGTTTAGGACTGATTTCACTTCATCTCCATATTCACTCTCCAGAGGAACAGGTAGGCATGATTTGGTGTCTTTAGGAACAGCCTGTGATGCTGGGGGGGGGGGGTCCGTCGCTTCAACAGCGAATACGCTATTACACTATACGCTGTGTATTGTGTGTGCGTAATGTGCGCAGTGTGCGCGTTCACAGCAGAACACTGCGCAACGCGGGGAGGGGGGGGGGGGGGGGTACACCAAAAACGTTGTCTGTGATTACTTTTACTGATAACTATGAACACCTTCAAAAACAATGGCAGTTTATTTTTCATACCTTATTTTCTTGAAGTTTACTTTATCTGAATGCCAGGACAGACAAACTAAGATGTTCACGTGTTTCAGACAAGCATTTGTGTTTGCCGTGTATAACTAGTTATTTTTTAGTAGAAGTATGTTATTCATTCTTGACAATTTGTTTAAGTTGTTAATCACGTGTTTGGGTTAATTATGGTCGAAAGGATTCTCGTTTTTGTTTCACTTTTTTCACATTTTGTTATTTGGATGCCTACAGTTGTGTGTGTGTTGTTGTCTGTATGTGGTTGTTGTGTGTGAGTGTGAATATGTGTACCCCATGAGGAATAGCCTACTGTAGCTCATGTTAATGGGGATTATATGAAGAGATCTGCAGCTCTATCTGTCCTGGTTAGTTTCCAGTATAACGTGCTGTTCCTTTGGGTTTGATTTTCAATAGCATTGGGATGTTTCACCAGTAACATTGTGTAGAAACCCACTGTGTGAATTCAACATGCCTGTGGACAAAAATACTGTAAATACGGTCTCCGGGCTGCACCAAAATCCTAAAGAAACAAATATTTTCCTAACATATTGTTCATTAAGTCAAGCTTTGTTCAAACATATTGTGAGTTTTAGCAAAGTTAGATTAACATTTTCAATATTGGGCTAATAAAGAGCTTTTTATTTCATTTTGTTTTTGTTTCTTATACTCTATAGTTATAATTCAGTCAGCAGTCAACAAGGTCAAATTTAAGTCACAGTCAAAAACATTTTAATTGTTAGAGCTTAAAAAAAATTGTTTCTTTAAATGAAATGATTATATAGACAAAAAGCAGACAAAAAATAGGAAATGTGTGTTCTATTTCCAAAGCCAAATTCCTCCTGTCTGTTGAGGGCTGCAGGCATGGCGGTGACGGTGTGCCAGGACCTGACGGTGACGGTGTTGGAGGATGCGAACGCTGCCAAGCTGACGGAGCGACAGCAGGCTCTGCGCGCTGCCATCCAGAGGGGAGAGCCAAAGTGTCTGGGGGTGAGTGAGCACACACAGGAGGCTTTGGGTTGGTTCACTTGAAGATAGGACCACGATTTGAGGGAAAGGGGAAGCATTCAGAAATATCGTTGTCTCATCTCTTCGCACCGCTGCAAACATAGGTCCAGAATGTGTTAACATTCTGTTTTACTTACAGCAGCTCAATGTTTACAGACTGGCATATCTTGGTGCTTAGCAACCATCTGTAGATTTGTATGAAAGATGTGTACTGCACCATCTGAAGTAAAAGTAATAACTCCACAGGTAAGCTGTAAATGGCCAGTTTAACTCTTTAAAGTGTTGTGCTGCAGGAACACTCACCTGTTGCAGTTTGGTCATGTGATAATCTGAATGATGTTGGAGGGATTGTAACAGGATAAGGACACGTCCACTACACTTCAGCAACCAATCGTTTCTTGAGAAAAATAATAATGGATAACTTTAAAATGTTAATTCAAAAACTTAATGTGCCAACTCTGGTGATAATTGGATGGTGAAAATGTGAATTGTGGTTAAAAAATCATTAAAATGTTGTTAATTCTAAATTAATAAAATAAAAAGAAAGAATAAATAAATGAAAGCAACTGTGAAAGCCAGTGGTTAAATGCTGCAACAACAAAAAAACACTAGAAAGTAAACAATTAAACGATTTAAGCTCTCTTCTTGTCAAAATAAATAAATGTAAAGGTTCAGGGGCTATGGGCCAAACATATCCCATGCTTCATAAACTGGAAATGAGTCCAACAACTCATCAGAAGCATTTTGGCCTGTTGTCTATTATATTTGACTGAAATTAAAGGAGGTGTCATAGCCATTTCCACTGATCATAATTCCATTGTTGAGGTCTACTAGAATAGATTTATATTGTGCATTTTTCCAAACTCACATTGGTTTCTCATACAGCATCTCTGTAAACTACGTGTATTCACTGAATTTCACTCTCTGCCTTTAACGGCTCGTTGTAGCTCCAATAGCTCCAGCCCCCACCCTCCCTGTGAGCACAGTGTGCTCTGATTGGTTGGGACGTTGTGAATCGCGCTGAGCTCCGTGGAGGTGTTGTTTCCTTGTTAGCGATACACAGCGAAACACAGCCAAACTCATCCTGAGCACACACAAAGTCACAGCCGAAGTAAAAACAATAAGTGTGGCTTGATATTGAGTAAGAAAAAGGTTGATAAACGCTGTGAGAATGGGTCTGCAGAGAGAATTTTCGCGCGGATCCCAACTGTCTGTTATCAGCCTGCAGCCAGGGAGGAGAAATCAGCTGAGCTGCCTGCTCCCTGCACACAGATGTGTGTGTGAAGAAGTCCGTGGATTGGTCAATTTGGACCAATCAGCGGGGGCTTAACGTAACGGCTCCGCGGACGTAACGTAACGGCTCCACGGATTGGTCCATTTCGTTCCGGGTACGGCTTCACATCATGCCGTATCCAGAACGAAATGGAAGAATCAAATGGACAATGACGTATCTCCAACGAGGCGTTTTGGGGAGGTCTTTTCTGTGTTAGAGTTTTACTCGCTACAGGGTGTACTTTGAGGGTTTTGACTCTGAGCACATGACACCTGCTGGGTGAGAGCTGCGTGCGCGTGCTCCGACCCCAGGCAGGATTCACATCGTGAGTGCCGGTCATAACTCATTATGAACCCCGTCTGGCATGAGGAGCAAACTCAACACACACAACCCTGTGTACTCATGTTTAAGGATCTTTTTCGAGGTGGCTCTTAAAAGAGCCTTTGCTCTTTAGTGTCTCGACAGTGCTTCAGTACCGGGGTGCTGAAGAAAAGAGGGAGGGAGCAGATTGTCGGGCCTCCTTCCTATTTATACCGGAAGTGAGTCCGTAGGTGGGGCCCACCTCGCAGGTGGGCGTGGATTACAAGTGTTTCAGTGCTGCGCGGGAGTGCAGGGGATTACCCAATAGCGATAGCCTTAGGTGCCGTTTACACGAGGAGAAAACGGCTTGTATCTGCATAGTTTCGCGTGCGTATAGCCCTATTATTTACACGAGGCCGATAGAAACGGACCCCACAAACGATAACGGGTCCCAAGGTGGATAGATTTGCAAACGAAACTCTCTGGGGGGTCAAACGAGTCCGTGTAATCACCTCTATACGAATATTTCCTGAAAAAATAACGATAGCCCCACCTTTCCCCACCTCTCCTGCTCACTGCTGTAGCATGGCCAGTAGCCATCTGTAACGATCAACTATCAAAAATAGCTGTGTTAATTAAACGCACAAGGGGTTCTTGAATGAAATAATATTATAAAAGGCAAACCAGAATTGTTAACGCCCAATATACTCCTTAAACATTATATTGACAATTTTCCAAACACAAACAAAATTAAACAGTCCGCTCTGCGATACACCAAAATTGTCTTTACTGCCTAATCCAGGCCATTATTGTTCATTGCTCCTGCGCCCGTCGGCGGCAAAAAGAGAAATGTTTGTAGGCCTATTCAGGCTATATCCACACAAAAAAAGGAAACAGAGGAGCGATCTCACCCGGTGTTTGTAGAGAATATCTCTCTTTCTGAGCCGTCCTCTCCACAGAGACGTGCTTCTTGGTCGGTCAATGCAATATCCACAGATTCGGTTTCTTTCAGTTAACTTCCCCGTTGCATTTATCCATATGCTGAGGAAATGACTATATCCCGCTGAATACCAGCAATCGCCACACACACTTCCTCCTGTCAGTAGCTACTGCTAGTGCTACTGCTACTGACCATGCTACAGATATTAGTGCAAAATCTACAGCTCCTCTACCACAACCATCAGCAACAAGTGGACATGGAGAATTACATGAACTACATGTTGCTAAATACACCGCGGAGCATAAACAGAAGGGTAGCCATGGCAACATTGCTCCGGGCTGCTCTGGGGTCTTCTTCGCTGCTTTTGGTGTATTTTGTGGCGGAAGTTACAGCGCCACTTACAGTCCCGGCATATGTACTACAGCGTGTCCAGCGTGTCCAGCGTGTCCAGCTCCTGAACCTAGCTTAACAAGTTAACTTCATTTCACTAGTAGCAGGAACCACGCCACAACAGTGTGATGTTTGTAGGTTTATTGCAAGAAGTAACAATGAATTGATATGGAGGGGTTGATGAGATGTACTGTTCGTTTGAATGAAACGAATGCATGTGAACGGAAGACTTTTTTGAAAACGCATACTGTGCATAAACGCAAACGTTCCCGTGTGCACAACGCCTTAGAGGGCTACGCCTATACGAAATAGAACTACCCAGGTAAGAAGTGAACCAGCGTCGTAGGACCGGAAACCCAGAGTTAACTCTGAAGTTACCTCGCTAAGCGAAAATCCGGCTTCGTAGTACAGGCCTCAGCACTGCTAAAAAATCACTACGTGCACGAACAAAAGATCACACAGATCACACAGCTGCACTCTGATCGAGAGATTCATACACAGCTGGAGGCCTGTCTTTAAAGATTGCTGTGTGTGTGTGTGTGTGTGTGTGTGTGTGTGTGTGTGTGTG